CGGCTGGAGCAGCGCTGGGGCTTCGGCCTGGAGGAGCTGTACGGCCTGGCGCTGCGCTTCTTCAGAGGTGAGCCGGGGCGGCCCCAGCTCCGCCGCCTCTACCCGGCCTGGGCTCTGGTCCCCGGGGGGACGACCAGTCTCACCGCACCCACCCATCCTGGGCCGCGGTGACTCGAGCAGGGCTCCGTCCTTGGGGACACCCGAAGTTTGTCACTACCCGTTTGGCCACCAGGTCACACCCCTGAGAGGCTTGGAACCTGGGTTTAGTAGTCCGAGTCCCGCCTGCCCCAGGTTACCCGGACATTTGACCTGATTCAGCTTCTCGGGTTTCCACAAGCCCGGGTGGAAGAATGAGCCTTCTCTCTCCCAGAGGACCCCATTTGGGGTGGCTTTTTTAATCGACACTTTCGTTTTCCTGTTTCCCAGGGTTGGCACATCACACCCACCGATTTTAACCTATGGAAGAAATCTTTCCGTAGGTTCCTTAATACCCTTTCCAGACATTCTAGGGAACTATAAACTTGAATAGGACTTGATCGCCTGGCAGTAGTGATGTGGCAAGAGAGGAGGAAGTAAAGCACAATATTAAACTCATTCATCCCCTCCGGCTTGTCAAACTCGGAAGAGAGGGCATGTCTGGTAACTTCTAGATGTTTAAAATTTTACCTTGTAAGCAATGTGTGAGAGTGAATTCTCAGAGAAAGGCCTGAAAGTACCGTCTGTGCTCGTCGCACAATTAATCGTTAACTGTCTCTTGTCTTAGAGCAGAATTCTGGGTTTTTTTTTTTTTTTTTTTTTTTTAAGTTGGATGATTCACTTAGTCAGATGGTAGAGAGACCAGTCACATGGTTTTGTCAGTGGGAAAGATTGATCAGAAGAAGACCGTTGGTTTGATTCTTAAAGATATTTAGGTCTTGTGGGGCTGATGGGCAGGGAGAGACATGGGCAAATGAAACTTTAAACGTGGTTGCTAGGTTCCACTTACATTCCAAGACAGCGTATTTATGACACTTTTCCCGGAGGGAGTAGCTTTTGGAGTATTTTACTAGCTGAAGTTGAGTAGTTCAATGTAGTGATACACACTAAAACTATTTGTATTGCCTCAAAATAACTTTAATTGTGCAAACTAGTGAAAGTCTCACTTTTATTTTATTTTTTTTGGTTTTTTTTGGCGGCTGGCCAGCATGGAGAGCTGAACCCTTAACCTTGCAAGGTGGTGCTCTAACCAACTGAGCTTACTGGTCAGCCTAAAAGTCTAATTTTTATACACTTGCCGGAGAATTTCATCATTCCACATTCATTTCCTTTTTTATTAAAAAGTTTACCCTTGAAATACTAATTGTCATTACACGATGAGTTCAGCCGTCTGTGTACTAGCTTGGAGAAGGGATAATGGGTTTTGGACCACTTGACTTTTAGGTCACTGGCTTGAGTTTAGAGTTTGCTGTAGTGGTGATATGTTACCACTTACGTGAAAATCTGTTGGTTTCGGTACAATTCATGTAACTACATTCTACCTTAAATTTTTATTAAAGTATATTTTTATTAAAGGGTATTGTAGCAGAGAGAATAAGAAAAGAACCAACTTCTAATCATAGCTTTTGCCACATGACTAAAAAAGAAATAAATGGGTACTTTCATTTTCTGAGGCTGTTCAAAAATAGTAGTACTGTTTTCTTTGAAACATTAAAACAGTGCACAGTGTGTGATAAACTTAGCATCGCTTTGAGAGTCAGGAAGCTCTGGATTCTAGTTATCATGTAAATTCCTGGACAACTTTTCCAGACTCAAAAGGAGTCTGGATTAGATGACAAAGGGAGCTAGATTAGATGAAATTTGATGTCTCAGTTTTAAGGTTCAGTGGTCTAAACCTAACAGATTATTTTAATATGTTCTCGACTGGTAGGAATGCTGGGGGAACCTATAACTTGGGAGTCTGGTTATCAGTCCCCTTAGAGAAAAGCTACATTGATAGGTATGGTTCACTCAGTTGCTAAATTAAGATCTCAAAGCAATATCCAAGTACTTAAAAGGAGAAATTGCTGGGTAGCAATTAAAAGTTACCTTTCTGCATGGAACATTACATCAGTTAGCAGCGAAGAGACTGTTGGTGTATGAGATGCTAATTGAAAAAAAAAGGATGTAAAAGCAGTCAAAAGAATTATGGAAAGTGACCTGAGCCAAGTAATGCTGCCTTTGTTTTAATGTGTGGATTTTTCTGTTGGAATACTTGGGAGTTTTATCAGTCTTGCAAGGACTTCTGATCACTTTTTTGTAGTTTTGCACCAGTATCTCATAAGAATTAGAAATAACATTATATTTTTTCTCCCACTGTGGAATTAATATGAATCTTGAAAACATGGATTTTTTTTCCATTAAGAATAGCTGGGATTGGGAATCAGGAACCATGCTTATCATTCCATCCTTGCGGCAACGGGATCGCACCCCCTGGCGTTGCCCCCGCGCCTCGCTCAGCCAGCGAGCGGGAACCGGTCTGCACGTGGGATCCGAACCCTTAGCGGGAGTGCCGCCGCGCTTCCCAAGCGGCGCACTAGCGCAGTGCGCCACCGGGCCGGCCCTGATGTCTCAGTTTTAAGGTTCAGTGGTCTAAACCTAACAGATTATTTTAATATGTTCTCGACTGGTAGGAATGCTGGGGGAACCTATAACTTGGGAGTCTGGTTATCAGTCCCCTTAGAGAAAAGCTACATTGATAGGTATGGTTCACTCAGTTGCTAAATTAAGATCTCAAAGCAATATCCAAGTACTTAAAAGGAGAAATTGCTGGGTAGCAATTAAAAGTTACCTTTCTGCATGGAACATTACATCAGTTAGCAGCGAAGAGACTGTTGGTGTATGAGATGCTAATTGAAAAAAAAAGGATGTAAAAGCAGTCAAAAGAATTATGGAAAGTGACCTGAGCCAAGTAATGCTGCCTTTGTTTTAATGTGTGGATTTTTCTGTTGGAATACTTGGGAGTTTTATCAGTCTTGCAAGGACTTCTGATCACTTTTTTGTAGTTTTGCACCAGTATCTCATAAGAATTAGAAATAACATTATATTTTTTCTCCCACTGTGGAATTAATATGAATCTTGAAAACATGGATTTTTTTTCCATTAAGAATAGCTGGGATTGGGAATCAGGAACCATGCTTATCATTCCATCCTTGTCACGATGGTCATAGGACAGTGACTGAACCCTTTGTGTCAACTACCTACCCTTTTAATTTTGTGAAAGTAAAAGTAAAATGACAGATGAAAATACATGTAAATATGAGTTAGCATATTACCATCTAAACTTTAGACATTGCTGAATCCTTATTATGGATAAAGTTTTATATTAGGTAACCACTATAAATGAATAGTACATTTTTTTTGCTATTAAGGAGCTTAGAGTTCAGAAGACCCAGTGACAACTGCAATACAGTGTGGAGCACTGAGGGAGTAGGTGCCATTCCAGAATGGGGGAAGGCCAAGAGCCTTAAAAGGGCAAGACGTGTGTCTGGGAAATGGCAAATAGGAAATAGTTTGATGGCGAGAGCTGGAAAGGTAAGTTGGGTTCAGATCCTTGAAGGCCATTGTGAATAGTTTGACCTTTTTTGTCAGTAGATGGTGAGGAACCAATGAAGGTTTTTGAAGGGAGGAGCAAAGTTGCCCAAATCTATTTTAGCAAGATTAAGCTAGGTTTTCTTATCTCCTTGGGTTAAGGGCCCAAAGGAATATGTAGCCTTTATACTTCTTGGATGAAGTTAACTTGGGGAATTGTGTTTCAGTTTTTAGAATTCTTTGGGGTGGATTTTTCCTTCTCTGATACTTTATTGCCTGATAGGTTGATTTAAAATTCTATAGTAACAATTGCCAACAGTTACTGAGCAGATGTTCACTAAATGTCAGGTACTATGCTGAAAGCTGTATATACACTATTTTATTTAATCCTCCCACAAGCCCTTCTGTGAGTGTATTATCTCTGTTTCTTAGTTGGGGAACCTGCCCCAGGCCACTCGGTTATTATTTGTAAGAGGCGGAGTTGGTTCTTTGTCTGATTCCAGAGACAGTTTTTCTGACTACAGGAGCTGAAGAGCAAATAGGACCCCTGCTCTCTGGTGGTGTTCTGAGGAAAACATTCAAAACTATGTATGTAGCTGTCTTCTTGTATTTTGGAACTTCTTTAATATATTTGCTTGAAAATATTGAGGGCTAATGGAAAGATCCAGGTGGTTTTTCTAGGCATGATCACTTTATGGGAAGTCCCAACTATCTGCAAAAAATGTGTGAGAGAACCGTCTACTCTGAATTCCTAGGTTTGAAAATATGAATGTAACAGGAGAAAAATCCCCTCCAAAGGGTAGGAGTAAATGTGCCCATCAAAAATATTGATAAGTCCTATTATTGCCTACTCTCATTTCTACTAATACAATATTACACCTTTTGGGAAGCATTTAGCTAATGATTGTTTTTTCTACTCTTATGAACTATAAATGGATGTTTCTTTTTGTTGTTGTTGTTGTTGTTGTTGTTGTTTTTTGGTGACTTGCCCAAACGGGGATCTGAATCCTTGACCTTGACACCAAGCTCTAACTAATTTCAGGTATTTATTATGGAGAATTTTGAACATACACAAAAACAGACAATAGTGCAGTGAACCTTGATGTACCCCTTACCCAGCCAGACCTACCCCATCCACTTCTCAGGTTATCTGTAAATATTTCATTATGTATTTGTAAACGATGGGGACTTCTTTTTAAAAAGTGGCCAATGACATTATCACATGTAGAAAACTTAAAAATTTGAACAATTCTTTAATGTAATCAGATAATCCAGTCAAGTGATCAAAATTCCAGTTTCATAAATATTACAGTTTTTAAAACAGTTTAAGTAAGGTTCCAGATACATTACAAGTAGTTGATATATTTCTTTCCTCTTCCTTTTTTTCTTGCATTTTGTTTGTTGAAGAAATTGGGTGGTTATTGGGTAGATTTTGCTGATTGCATCCCTGTGGCTTATTAACATATTCCTTTAATCTCTATTTCCTGTAGTTGGTTCTGTTTTTTTTGGCAAGACTACTTC